TTTCTCAGGTGTTCAAATACTTATGTTCAGCAGTGCAAGACAAATAAATTCTTTAAAAATCATACAATGTGATTTCCTGAATTTTTTTTTTAATTCTGTCTCTCAGAGTGGGAATGCACCTACAATGTGAATTTCAGACCCCTCCATGATTTCTAAGTGGGAGAACTTGCAAAATCGCAGGGTGTTCAAATACTTCTGTTCCTCACTGTATTTCCTGAGCCCCTTTGAACTCTGATTTGATTAGAGCGTAATCATGTTCTTTCACCTGTTTTATGTCTCATTGCTACAGTTCATGTTCAAAATCTTATCAGAATGCCGTGGTGCTGCATTCATTAAGTGATCCTCAGATGTTTTTTGTTTTGCACTTAACATTGAGCGCTTACTGAGTCCTCCATCTTATCTTCCATTCGTTTGGCTTTTGGTTTAGACTGAAATTTGGATAATTTGATGTTTTGGGATTATACTCAAGTCAACATCTTGATCATGTGACCTTACGTGTTTTGTCTCGGGGCCATTTTAGTCATCCTATGTCCCGTGCAAGGTCAGTTTTGTCTGCTAAAGTCATACACTCACTGGCCACTTTATTAGGCACACCTGCACCATTGTATGCTCTTCAGTGCAAAACTTCCACCTTAGTATCTGTGTTTATGATGCTCAAAATGTTTCAGTTTTTGGTGAAATTGTCATAAATGTGTAAAGTCGATTATATGTTTATTATATTCAGAGGTGTCTATATTTTTTGTCCTCCCCAGCTACATACATGAGCGGGTCAGAATATTAGAAACACCTCTCAATATAATGTAGTCCAGTGCTGTGAACTTATGCTTGTACAAACTTTAATTGTCTGCACATTGCCAGTGTTGGTTGCTGACAGCCATACAAAATGAGTAAACCCTTGGTGGTGTGATGTTGCTCACAGCTTACCTGTCTAGTGTTTGTCAGACTTGGAAATGAATAAGTGCATAAACTTAACCTAGCACTTTAACCCATCCACTTTTCCCAATTTTAGTTTGGTCTAGCTTGTGTGTTATGATGAACTGTGACATGACTCTGCTCTGTTGGACTTAAATACTGACTGTGGGATTCCTGTTTAAATAAACAACAGTCCAGATAATATGGTTATTTCTTCCTTTAACTGCAGGGGATGTCTGAGGAGGCTGTCCGCCAGACACGCAGCCAGAAGAGGGCGCTGGAGAGGGAGGCTGCTCCCCAGTCAATAGTACCCTCCAATGCTGTAACTGAAAGCAAAAAGCCTAAATTGGACCCGTTTGTACCTACAGCACAGGAACAAACAAATTCTAAACATGATCCTGTATTGGCACAGGACAGTCAGAGCCGGACTAGCACCGGATCGGCTCATGAGAAGGAGCAAGAGCAGAGCCGATTGCCGATATCTTTAGTGTTACCCTTGGCCTCCCAAGGGGTAAAGGATGATCAGGAGCAGACCCTCAGGCAACCGAAGGTAGAACCCAGCTCAGACAATCGAACTGAGTGCAATGACAAAGCCAGCAGGGCGAGGACGGAGTCGGGTATGGATACAAGGAGCCGGGTCCGCTTGACAGAACCAAGGTCGTCCAGTGGCATGCTGGCTGCAGGCGAGGTGAAGGCCACCATTAAAGTGGAAGTTCAGATGGGAGAGCAGCCCGTGGACATGAGCACCTCCAAAGGGTGAGGAACATTTCAACTCTCTTCATGCTGTGACAGCCACACCAAGTACATAAAATAATGGTGTGAATGAGCAGGAAACTTTATCTACCTAAATGTTAGGAAAGACTGGAAGCTTCTTGTCAAGATTTTTTGTTCTAAAACTCACTCACACAAATGTACAAAAGGATAAATAACAATTTAAAAAGACTACAAATGTTTAAAATTACTTTTATGATCCTTAGGTTCTGTAAACTTAGGACGAGGTGGGGGCCTGTTGTACTCAGAGGTGATGTTTAACTTTATCTGTTAGTCTACCTCCATTTTCCCCCCACACACCACCTGAACCCTAAAAATGCCCCTCGCACAAAATGAAGCTGTGTCACAAACCGGTTTCAACTGGTTGTTGCCATGGTTTTCACAGTGGAAGAAACAGCGAGGGGAGAGGGGGAGGAAAAGTGAGTGTGCCACGTGATGATGACTTTGAGGTCATGTGACTTCTTTGGAAGAGTTGTGATTAATCCACAGGAAGTGATGATGGCGCTAAGCCCTGAGGAGAGACTAATACAAACACACACACACACACACAAAAAAGAAGGAAGGCTAGGAGAGACAGGCCTCATGCTGTCATTCCTCTACTTTAACGACTTCTTACGCTTCATAGAAGTGCATAGTCCTTGCAATCACAAGGTCATCCTTGTTTTGTTTTTTTATAGGACCATTAGGCATGTCTTTAGTTTGTGAGTGTCGCTAGTCAAAGAATTTAGGTCAGCTGCTCTCACATAGCCTGCAGCTGAACTAGTCACGTTGTAGTAGAAGCTATATGTGTTGGAGGGGGCATGTGTAAAATGTGCATAATCACGTTTTGTAGAAAGATATAAGGGTTGATCCTCATTCACACTTGCTTTCTTTACCATGCTCTGTATGACATGGTACGCACCAAATACCTCAGATGTCCATTATGCCCCACCAGCTTCAACAGGAAATACGTGCTCTCAAACAACCGTTTCACTGTGACTTAAAAACCTTTACTGGAGCTCTAAGTCCCACCTTGCCCCTCCTTGGCATTTAGGACTGTTCTGTTGTTGCTGAACTAGCATCAACATGAAGTGAAGCTGTGTGGAGCGATGTCTGGGCTTGCTATATTATAGTGGAGTGGATCAACCCGCGGTCATAAATTTTAATTGTGGTTGAAGAGCAGACTTTCATGAATACAGACATTACTAATGGTTGCTAATATTTCAGCCAGAGGAGGTGTTCTTCTTTATCTTGTCTCAAACAGCCATAAAGTGTTCTTGAAATGGATGAAGTAACTTTTTCCCCATATTGTGAAAAAAATAATTACACCCTGTCATTTTATTTTATTAGCAACTTTGACATAATAGATATAACCCGGTTTTGTGTTCATAATGTTCAGTGTCAGGGCTAAACTTATAAAATACTGATTTCTGTTTCTTTCAGCAGCATAAAAAGGGAGAAGCGCCCTCTGTCCCCTGAAGATGACGATGTCATTATCTTGTCGGATAACGATTCCCCCAGTCCACCAATGAATGGCCTGAGTCACTTTAAAGAGCTGGACACAGACCTTCTCATGGTGAGATGAAGAGATACAGTGCTTGAAGTCATGCGTTTCATGCTACTGACCTACTGATAGGGATTCTGAGACTCAAGTTTAAATCATAATCTACTCTGGCTATGGCACAAGTTGTTTTTTTTACCTCAGAGATTGTAGTTGCGCTGTAGGCATTTCACTGATGCTGAAAGTTAGAGCAAAAGACAGTGTCACACAGCATATGTGACTGTTACAGTGTTTTTCCACCATGGATAGTTAACGAGCCGTAACCTGGAGCTTCCCCTACCCATACTCCAGCAGACTGACATGGTCTGTTCTGGTTTGCTTTTTCACTGCATTCTTCTCCCTGTTGGTCACTGTTTACATGAGGGTGTGGCTGCGCTCCTGAGTCAAGGTCACAATGCTTGTTAATCATGCCGGCAACAAAATCAGTCAGTAACGGGACTGTATGAGCAGTTTATCAAACAGCTGTTGAACAAGCTTAACACAGAGTGGCAGAAATGTGATGTCTATGTTGCTTTGCTCGTGGTCAATTTAGTGAGGTCCTTGTTTTCCCCTTAAACTAATGAGCAAATTCTGTTTTACCTTCAAACCAGTGTGTGTGTATGTTCACACACCGTGCTTGTAATGCTGCTGTTTAACCAGTCAGGGGCGACGGCTATGTGAGCACTCCCCCCTCTCACTGTCAGTCTCAGGACCATGATTTAGTACTACCTCCAGAGGAATTTGTCTTGCAGGGCAGTGGAAACAAAAGCATAACCTGGGTACAAATTTTCTTTTGGGGTAGTAGGTTTCTATAGAGGAAAAGGCCTATTAATGGACACTTGGGCCGCTTGAGGCTCCACCCTTCATTTTCAGGAAAGTGTTTTTGTCTTTTGAAACGTGGGTGGTGCAAGTGATGTTATGATCTGTCGAGTGTAGAAGAGCAGCCCGGCAGAGAGGGGGCGCATCATCAAGCAGCTGAAAGAGGAACTGAGACTGGAGGAGGCCAAGCTGGTGCTGCTGAAGAAACTCCGACAGAGCCAGATACAGAGGGACACTCTCCAGAAGGTAAATTAGCATTATTACCCACATCAACAAAGGGTCACACAAAGTGTCATGCATCCCCACAACACAGGCTTTCACATTAAGCATACTGTGTTTTTATTTAATACCTTTCTCTGATCATTTTTTTCCAGCCCTCAGGTGTGTCCAGCTCCACTGCTCCCCCTCCTCTAATTCGAGGAACAGTCACAAGCAATAAAGGCTCTCAGCAGGTTTAGTGCTCTAATCACGCATGTATTCAGGCAGCATATCGGCCTGACAGAACCTTCATACTGTTTCTGACAGTGTCTTTTCCTCACCAGATTTTGGCAGGCAGGAGTTCAGGCACAGTCATCCCTCCACCACTGGTGAGAGGAGGGCAGCCAGGCAAACATGGCTCCCAGATCATCATGCCGCCTCTGGTCAGAGGGGCACAGGTAAGTCATGGCAAAATGTTAACAATTTATTATCACACTAAGTAAGTATAAGTATGCCATTTGTTATACAGTATATTTCAATTTTTCTTTGTCAGGACAGTGACAGCCTGAGTTATTCAGTTTTAGATCTGTGCTTCACTCTTCATGACACACTGCAGGGAAACAATTACACTTAAATTTAGGACTTATGATCTCTCTTTGCGCCTCTCTCTTTGTCTGTGCCCTTTGCTTGGGGCTTTTGATGTCCCTCCCTTGTCCTCCACTGCTTTTGTGTGTGATGTCCCTCTGTGTTGTCTTGGTTAGCCCATCTCTGTATCTCCACAGCAGATCCAGGCTCTTCGCCACCAGCAGCAGCAGCAGCAGCAACTGGCTGCCTCCGGAGGCTCAGGCTCGGGACCCCCTCCTCTGCTGCTGGGCCCCAGGACCTCAGCCCCTGCAGGCCAAGGCCCGAGAGGCATGGGCCAGCCAGGCCTCAGAGTTGGCAGTAGTGCTAGTATACTGGTCAGTATCTAACAGGTGCTTCCAGATAAAAAAAGAGTATGCACAAATATGTTTTACCATCCAGGGTGAAAAAATACTATGTTATCCTAAGTAAGGCCCTTCCACCCTGCTTCTTGTTACATCACAAAGAGTCTTACCACTACCTGCACACAATTTACATTTTACAATAATGTTCTTATCACTGTTCATGCCAATAAAATCAAAATATTTCCAGCCACTGAACGTAGGTACTTCCATCTTCCAAGCTAGCTTACTGCTTGTGTGCTGCTAAATGACGTGCATGCGTGACAACTACGAGTATTAAATGTCAGATTTCAAGTCAATCTGTGCTGTGGTGACAACAAAAGTAACGCTATAACAAGTTGTTTTGGGAGAGAGTAACTAATATTATTACTGAAAATTAAATTTTAACTTTTTACACTACTCATTACTTGGGAAAGATTATATTATTACAGTAACACGTCATAGCCCAACACTGTGTGCAGCGATGCAAGTCTGATAAAGAAGTGGCTTTTTTAATGATTGCACTTTTTTGTTGTTGTCACAGAATCTTTCAACCGGGCTCCAACTGTCTGATTCTTGTGACCCTTAAACACCAGCTGCCCTTTTGTAACATGTCAACGATATTCTGATTTTGACTGCATGCTTGCACCTTTCTTGTTTCTTCCTGTTTTTACTTGTTTTTTGAAGGTCTCGCCATCCAGTTTGAAGGGTTCCTCAGGAAGCAGTGGTGTGTCTGTGGTTAGCATGAATGACTCTCCAGCCAGCCGCCAAGCTGCAGCTAAACTCGCCCTGCGGAAACAACTAGAGAAGACCCTCCTGGAGATTCCCCCACCCAAACCCCCTGCACCAGAGTTTAACTTCCTGCCCTCAGCAGCTAATAATGAGTTCATCTACCTGGTGGGACTGGAGGAAGTGGTACAGAATCTGCTGGATACCATCCACAGAGGTGGGTTTTCAGTTTTAAAGGCATTTGTTAAATGTAGGCACAGCACCTGACTGTTCTTTGCAGAGCGCCTAAGCTGAATTAATGTAAAAAGGTGACATATCACAATGAATGTAAAAGAAACTGAGTTGTATGTGCTGGAAAAGAAAGGGAGAGGTGACTTGATCTCAAAATGAAAGGTAAGGTGACAACAAGAATGACCTGTCCATCAATACTTTGGGTGAAACAGCTATTGGATATTTTTCTACCCTGTCAACTCAGGCCAGTAGTTAACAGCCATCATTAAGGTTAGCCTCCACAAAGAATAGATGAAGTAGGCTAAAGGTTGTTGCGGAGTTATTCTCGTGAATGGTAACAACAGAGGTAATAGAATATAGCCTGTTTTACAAGTAACGAAATTGCTACCAGGAAAACCTGTTAGTTGATGCTACATAATATATGATATGTTAGAATTTCTTTTGAATAATTTTAAAATTTAAATTAAAAAAATTAAAAATTTGTGCCTAAGCCATCTGAAAGCCTAGGAAAAACCTTGTAATGGTAAACTGAATTTCTTTAGGCTTCAACTGCTGGGCTCTATTAAATTGTAAAGGGCATTTTGGACCAAACAAGTAATTAACTGAAAAAAGATTCATCAATAAGGAAAATAGATCTTTGTTGCTGTTGCAGTGTTATTAACTGTCTTGGTCAATTTTATGAAATGGAAATTTGTCCACCTATTCTATCTATTTCCTTCTAATTACCTAATTTATGCCATACAGTACACTTCTATCCATTTTTGATCAGCGCCTCTGGGTTTGCCATTTCTCTGCATCCAGGAAAGACAGGCGTAGCACTGTCCAAGCCCTTTATCAGAGACCCCTTCATCTGCACTCAGTGCAACACTGACTTCACCTGCCGCTGGAGGCAAGACAAGACTAAAGGCGGGGCAGTGTTCTGTGAAGACTGTATGTCATCCAATCAGAAGAAGGTTTTGAAAGCTGAGCACACCAATAGGCTGAAAGCTGCGTTTGTCAAAGCACTTCAACAAGAGCAGGAAATAGAGCAACGAATCATTCAGCAGACGTCCTCACCAGTCTCCCACAGTAGCTCCTCATCCTCTTCATCCGCCTCTTCATCAATGAAAGCCGAGCACTTGGTGTCTCAGAAGCTGAAGCAGGCTCGGGCCAGAGTGTCCTCCCTCCAGCACCACCACCAGGCCAGCCCAGGAGCCAACATCATTCACCATCACTCCATCAAGCAGGTTGGAATCAACATCTTATTTTTAAGAGAAACACATTTGAGTCAATACCACTGCAGCTCAAAGTCCTTGTGTGTGTGTATGAACTTCCCACAGAGCTCCCAGGGTCAGCTGTCCCACGGTGTCTCATCAGTGGGAGTGAGGGGTGTCCCCCACTCCTTCTCCTCCTCCTCCCAGCTGCAGAGTGCAGTGGCGGCCGCAGCTTTAGTCAGCCGGCCAGGTAAGCATGCCCGTGTTTCCCACCACTCTGTCCAGAGTTCAAAGGTGAGCAGCAGTGGAATCAGCAGCGGCAGGAATATCAGCGGAGGTAGTGCCTCATCCACTGCATGGAAGAAGCAGAGCCACATCAATACAGGTAGACTCACATTAATACCAGTCCACCTCTGGTGCCTGACATCTGCTCTCTCTATTTCCTGTCTGGTCCAAAAGCAATCCTTGAACATCCTAGATCCAAATTTCCATTGTTAAGGAATTTCTTACAAAAAGGTACATTCTACTATAGTCACACACATTGGAGAAAACAATAAACTGCAGGAGGAGATGTTTTCGGACAAGGCAGTTCCACTCTCCGGTTCCCCCTCTGCAAATGATCCCCATCTTCCTACTTTAGTCCCTTGGTCTGGTGGTTCATAAATTTATTTTGGGTGTCACTGTGTCATCTTTCCTTTGTCTGTCTGTGTTTGTGGGGACATGGGTGGCTATAAATTCAGGTATTTAGGCAAAAATCATAGTCCTCCTTTCTTATTCGCTCAAAGTATTAAACTGACAGCATGCAGCTTGCTCTAGCTGATCTGCTGCTCTTTTGCATGTTCACAGGAGTGACTATGGCCTATGTGAACCCCAGCCTGACAGGTCACAAGACGGCAGCCATCGTAGACGCTCGTCAGAGGGAATACCTGCTGGACATGATCCCCTCGCGCTCGTCGATCTCGCAGACTGCAAATACATGGAAATAATTGAAATACTCTTCTATTCATTAGTTTTGGTCAAAGTTCTTCAACTCCAATAAGGTCAACAGCACCCCACAGAGGACTGTTAAGCAAATACAATCTCTCAAAGTGAAGAAATGTCCCTTACTTACCTTTTGTATGATTGTTGTTGTTTTTTTTTATGTGGTTTATTTTGAGGTTCGCTGTTCTTTGGTAATTGTGTAGAAACCATATTGATTTGACTGGGGTAAAGAAAAAAAAAAACAAATACTTGAAGGGCTTCCCCTGGGTACTTCTGTCCTCCTGACAGACAGTTGTTAAATAATGGTTTTGTCTGCTTTGAGTACTTTAATAAAAATGAGTACTCTGTTCTGGGCTTATGAGCCCTTTCTGCCATGATGTGGGTCAAACTGACCCACTCTTTTGACACTTGAATGGTTGTAGTCATACCCAAGAGTTCACCTTTAATGAAATACACATTGATTTCAAGCAAATACAAAATAACTGAACTGTAAAATTTTCAGTAATTAGCCTTGTAGTTAACGTTTTGTTTTGGTTTATTTTGTATTTACAGTAAATTATTTTGTTTTTGTTTTTTAATATGATGTTTAAAATCGCTCGGTATATTGTGGTTTCCACAAATGAAGAGTTTATTGTAGCTTTTTTTTCCCCCAGTTTAACAGCATGCCTACCCTTAACGCCTGTTTATTTTGCACCTTAGCTGAAGAAGCATGGTGTTATTGCTTAATTCATCTGTAATTACCATTTGTAATTTACTTATTTTATATTAATGTCAACATTGTAAGATTATTTTGAGTGTTATGTTATTGCTGAATTAATGCAAACTCTGAAGGAGATGAATTTTCCACCCTGAAACCAGAGACCTTTTCTCCAGTATATTCAGCCGGAATCCATACAATATGTGGCATCACTGTGGCATCAGCGTAGCCCTGGAATCTGTTGTAAAAGGAACATTTCCCAGCCATCAAGGTCCTGGAATACACAGCATTACATAATTTCTCTCCTTCCAGATCTTAATTGCATTGTACCAACTTATGTTAACATTTATTTGGTTTTTTGGGCATTTTTCCTAGCTCCTAAAGAAATTAAAAAATATATAAGTTTTAAATACTTGTTTTCATTTGTTTGAGTGTGGAATATGTATAAATAATATAACACTAGTATGACTTTCATCTAGAAACAAAACTTACTGGGGTAACATCTTCAGTGCTCCAAATTTATTGTATGATCCAAGCTTGTATTGTTGAATCTGTTCCTTGGCATTCACTTTTTGTATTTTGATGAATTTTAACCAGTTAAAGGATTCTCATCATCATCACATCTGTATTCTTGCAGAGTAAGGAGTGCCTCGGTTGGTTATGTCCCAAATCAAAGAGGAAAGATGGTAATGAAATGCAAAACCAGCAAAAAGTCAGAAGAGGACAGTGTAAATTTCGATGAACACAGATGAATCAAAAAGGCAGAAAGTGAGCAGAGACAACCTCACAGGAAGCCATGCCCTTTGTACTCCAAAGAATGACAATCAACTTACAGTATGTCTTTTAGATTCAACCGGTTTTTTTATCTGAAGGCCCCAAGAAGTAGCACAGGAAACAAGAATCAGCTTTACATAGATTTATTTTCTTCTGGTTAAATGCAGAGTTATTACAGCGCTGGGCTCTATGACTTGACAAGTCCCAAGAGCTCTGATAATAGGAAGTAATTCCCATTTATCTTCTCGGGCTGGGACTGCCCTGAACATGGGTGAAACTCATATTATCTTTTAATCTGCTGACTCAAGGTTCATACAAATATGAACTCATATTATCTTCTAATCTGTTGGCTCTACACTCACAACATGAACTGGACACAAGGTTCATGCAAATATTCTAGAATGTTGGAATAAGCAGTGTGTGTGTTGTTATTTTCAGGCGTTTCTTTCTAACTGAAAGTAGACATGCAGTTAGCATCTTATCTATAGTTTCCAGGATGACACTTATCTCTGCAATCAATTTATGCACATTTCACCAAGAAGACAAGAAATACTACTAGTTGACTCAAAGCTGAATATTATGACTATGATGCATGCATAAGAGCTGGTTAATACTGATACATGGAGCTGTTAATGAAACACAGACAAATAGTCATACTGAACTCTTCCATTATAAAAGCAAAATAATACTGATGATAAGTAGAAAAATAACTTTAATTCCTGAAATCCAATCCTAACATGTCTTAGAAGCTGTGGAGTGCAATTATATTAAGTACATCTACTCAAGTAATCTGCTTCAGTACAATTTAGAGATTTATTTGGAATTTTTGGTTGTCTTAAATTTTACACTTTCAGAGGAAAATAATGTCTTACTCTATAC